ACTAAGCAACATTATTCTTTATCTTGTGCTATGGCTGTAGTTAATAGGAATTTAAATCTCCTGAGTGTACAACTTGTGCTATTGACCCCCTTCTGGAGTTCCTTGCACTTACACAGCTACAGTTCAAGTTTCAACTTTGAGGCTTTTACCTTTTGCCAACATCCTCTCAGCTCTTCATTTCTTTTTGTCCACGTTCACTGTGGTCTAAATTACTTAGCGTGCTGCAAATGTCACCTTACTATAAAGACAGGTGCTGTAGGAGCTGTATGTTAATGCAAAAGTTCCTCCATAGCCTTTATAAAATCCTTCAATGATCCACATAGCTCTCCTCCTTTTCAGCAGGCTCCAGGCTTGGCTTCTATTCTACCCTTTGGAATTCACGTATCCTGCCCTATCGATTTACTTTCATTTTTTAAGGTCAGAAGCTGAAATCTTACACAATGAGGCATGGAGGGTCAAAATGAGCCCATTACTTACAGTGCTGGGCGAAGAGGCACAGAGTGAGGTTATCCAAAGGGAAAAGAAAAAAGGCAGGGAAAAGTCCTCTGGGATGAGGAATGGACTAAGCACCAAAGGTTTCAAGAGAATTAGTGTCCATTTTTAAATGGTTTAAAAAGACATTACTTTTGTGATGAATGACTTTTGAAGACTATTAATTATCTGTTTTTGTTTCACGCTTAAAACGAAGCAAAAAAGTTGAAGTTTTGAAATTCGAAGGATCTAATGGAAAAGATTTACAAGACAGAATTTAGTGGACACACAGGTTATATGGCAAAATAATTCAACCGTTTTAAAATGTCTGCAGGACAATTTGCTGCCACCCTGGTGGTTAATAACTAAGCTTGTTTCCCCTCCTGGGCAGTTTAATGACTGCAATTTGGCCACAAACTGTCAGCCTAAAAGATTCCCAAATATACAATAAATACTGGACTCATGTCAGAGTGACAAAGACTGAACACATCCTCTAAAGTATATTTCCACAAGGAGGAAAGGTGAGTGAAGTTTGGGTTGGAGTAGGAGGGAGAGGCACAATGTTAAAAGGAGGCTGATGGAAAAAAGAAAGAGAATAGCTGGTTATGACACTTGGAAAGAAAAAGAAAAGGAACTCCAGGTGGTAAATGAGAAAACCTCCATTCTGCCTCCTCCCTATCCAGCTGTGACATGCCGCTACACAGACTTACTGCGGATTTCAATTTGCTCCACTGTATTTTAGACAGGCAAAATAGTTTACACAGGCCCAATTTACCGAGCCAGTCGTGCAGAAGGGTTCACAGCCTGTGTGACATGCCAGAGAATGTTTATGAGTGTATTAAGTGAGGGTGATAAATCTAGCGCGGGTTGCATAGGCTGAGTGCATATACTGTAGTGTTGCAATGTATATTCACACATTCACACAAGGACAACACACATATCTTTAACAGAGATAGCCATTTTGTCACAGGGTATAAATGTCCTTTAAACAGCCTAAATGTAATGTGTAGCTATGATTGTACAGTTTTAAATTTTAAATTTTTAATAGAATAATACAACAAAACCTTTAAATTCATTTGTAATTTTTTGCATTTTGCACATTGTTGCTTAAATGTAGTATTCAGTTTTCTGAGGCAATTCGGGATAGTTCCCCAAAAAAGTTCAAATTCAGCTTCCCCATTTGATATCATTACTGAATGATGTGTGAATTGAGTTGGTGAATGTGGCTCTTAGAATAAAAGCGCAGTGAATGATCAATAACATAGAAAAAAAATATGTGTCAATGAAGTACAGCTATCATTCTTTGGAGAAGATGCATCTATTGGAGAATTCTAACAAATAAAAAATAAATAAATAAAACATAAAAACTACCTAACAAAACAAAAAAAAGTGCATAATAAAATGTAAAACTTGTTCATGGCTTTGCCTGGACTTCTGATTACAAATTGGGACCATTATAAAGTGTTTAAGTGAGCCAGTAGAGAGGAGAAAGAAAAGAGACATGTCACTTTCTTTGGTACCCTTTAACTATGAGAAACAAATAACTGGATTTTTAAGGATTTTTTATGAATCTATTAGCAAATTATGGTAGAGAATAAATATTTGGTCACAGACAAGCAAGAATGATGACTCTCCTTTA